CTGTAAATGTCCATGGACTTATAATTGACAGAGGTACTAATGGACTGATTGTAAGTTTTTTGATCTGAGTTTTTTTTTCTTTTTCTGATGAATATTGCATCCAAAACTTTTGCTTTTTTTTTTTTCCAAGCATGGTTCCAGGACGTCTTGTTTTGGATTGGTTTGTTCATGTCATTTTAAATGTATCCAGTATCAAGGCTAACTGATCCCTTCTTATACCTAATTGTGGCTCTCCAGTTTCTACCAATAAATATGCTGTAGATGTTGTTTTAATATCTCCAGTAATAATTCTAATTGCTTGATATTAAGTGGTGTTTAAGGTTTCTAAAGGTGTTTTTGAAGATTAATTTTTGTTAACCTACATGATTGTAATATTGTGTTCCTAAATCCTGATGCATTGTTATTGGGTAATGATCACTGCTTATTAGTTTTTTTTTTTATTTTTATTATTATTAATGACATGTCATGAACTAGAAACTTGCTAAATAACTTGAAACTAGTGTAATATCTACTGATCTTTATTTACATCAATCCTTGTGCTATTCCCATCATTTATACACACATAAGTTTTGTCATCCATAACTTCTTTAATTATTATTCCAATGTGACCATTATACCTATCAAATAATATGTCAATTCAAATCACCACAGCAAATTAACGTTTCTTCTAAATGCACTAAGAGGTTGTCCAATGATTCAGCAGACAATCTTTTCCCTTGGTTATAAAAAATTATAACTTTAATGTTATTTCCAACCCAGATTTCTAGGAATATTAATTCCAAATCGGAACCTTTTGTTAACAAACTATATTTGATTCCTTATTTTATAAATATAATAAGTCCTCCTTCCCTACCCTCTTCTCAATCTCTTCTTACATTCTTTCAATATAAAATCTAGATGAGATTTAAGCAATGTTTCCTCAATACAAATTATGTCTGCTTTATTGCTGTGTATGTTAAATAATGTGAGTTTAATTCTAAAAGCAGAAATAAGAAAAAAAAACAAAAAAACTTTTAAGCAATGTAAACATATATTATGTAACACTATTGATGTCTAACGATACTGAAGATGGCATCTAAATTTTATTTTAAATCAATGATAAACTAAAACAGCTAAAACAGAAGGTTATTTTTTACATTATGCTGATGACATTTGATTATTTCCTGCTCAAAATCTACTTTGATTTGATCAAAGTGAGCTTGGATTATTTCTTTACAAAAGCCAGAAAATAAAAATACACCTTCAACATTACAGTACATTAATTCAATTCAATTCAATTCAGTTTATTTATATAGCGCCA